CCCCCCCCCCCCCCCCCCCCCAAGAAAAGGCAAGACCAAACAACCCCGACGCCCGTCTCTCATTCGCAAGCACCAGTCATCCCCGCGACTTCTTCTTCGCACCTGCGCCGCCACCATGCGAACGACCCTCTGCTTGGCGTTGTTGTTGTAGCCCGGGGCGTTGGGGTTGGGCGTGTACTTGATGAACTCGGCCTCCTTGCGGGTCTGGTCCCCGATAGAGCCCGGCGTCGCCGAGGTCACCTTGGCACCGATGAGCTGAAGTATATCGCAAGCGGGGGCGTGTAGGGGGCGGTGGTACAATTGTAGTATAATACAACAGACGGGGCGACAGCAATCAAGAAGAGGCGGATTGGGGGTTACGAGTAGGGCACGAGAGGGTGCAGAGGGATACCAGATTCCGATGAGCCGAGAGATCTTGGAAGAGGCGTGGGGGGATCGGACCCGCGGAGTAATGGTCAACAAGACNGGGGGGGGGGGGGGGGGGGGGGGGGGGGGGGGGGGGGACGTGCCGCCCTTGCTGTTCTATTGACTACGCACGTGACGAAAACGATGTGTACGACGCATTTCGAGGGATATTATATTGTACCAGTATCTCGTGAGGCCTCAATAGGGAGCCATACTGCACACTCGTCTTCCTCTACCTCCACGCTCATTCAAGTCTCCTCTCTTTCGCTCACCGAAGCGTGCATTCGTTTGCCATAAAAGCAAACGCAACTTTTCCCATCGACACATATCTCGCTTTCCGAGTAATTGGTCAGCGCGAGGATTGGAGATGCCCGCCCCTGGCAACCAGAACTAACAAGCACACACACACACACACAAATCTCCTGTGCCCCCCCTGTCGGTGGAATCGGTACCCTTTGACTACAACGTAGCCGTGTTTATTATCCCACTCTACAAGACTGACGTCTTTTCAATGTCAGCCGGTCCCGGCCGATGTTACTGGTACAGAGTAAGAAAGGCACACGAAAAGAAAAAAAAACAACTGCTCGCTAACCTTCTCGAAAGCCTGCCTCGTGCGCTCCGCTGTCAAGGCCGCCTCGTCGGCCGTCGGGGCCTGCAGCTTTTCCGCGTCGCCCCTCTTCTCCTTGATGTTCGACAGTTGAGAGTACACGATCTTGTCCCGGTTCGTGCCCTGCTTCACGATGGCGTCGTGCTTCACCTATGTTGGAGTTGTTTGCATGGTGGGTGTGAGAGCGGGCAGGACGGTCAGAACACAGGCGACGGTTTTCGCGGCACCGTCGGTAGCGCCGGCGGAATTGAACCCGTTCTGTGCATGATCGCTGTTTTTTCCGGCCTGGCGGAGGCAGCCGGAATTCTTCGGGCAGCTGGTTCGCGTGGTCGATGCTTCAACCTTAACGACGTATATAAGATCCTTTGTCAGGGGAGCCCACGGACTGAAACCGTTGAAGCCATTTTCGATTTTCGCCTCGCAAACATTGCTCTGCCGATTTGCGCGGTCGGCGCGACTTAAAGAAAGTCTATTATATCTCACACCCTCTACCGGTAGCGTTTTTTTTTCGTCCTGCTACATGTACGACTGGCGTCTTTCGTATAACCGGATTAGCGGGTTGTCGCGGTCAAGACAAGAAACACAGAGAAGTCGCACAAGAAAGTAATCAACTGCAAGGAGGAGTAGGTGCAGCAGCAAGAAGAATGAGAAGCAGTGTTGCTGTGTTTAGCTAGTGTCGAGTACATGGAATTCTGGGCTTCGCCGCTTTCGTCCAACCTCCTCCGCGGCACCTCGATCAGGGAGGGCTAAGCCCACCGGCTAGACAAGCGTGTTTCCCATAGCATCTCACTAACGACTAAAGCACGCACGGTCGGGCGCATCTCACCCACTGCTGTTTTGACGGTTCAAAGAACGAGACAAGCCTTAGGAAACAAGGCCACCCACGCTCAGCCACCGAACCAGCTCTACTTGCTGCTGAAAAGTACAGTACATCAGTCTTGGGACGATCGTTCTGCCCGGCTTCGTGATGACCCCTCCCCGGAACGCAGTCTAGTTTCACTGCAGAGTCTGTGACTCAAACAAGGAGCATGGTGCAGAGAGCGGAGAGACCAGAGACTACGCTGCGAGTCTGCGAATACACTGCAGTTTTTGCACATCAGGAGAGTCCTCTCCGCACTCAACTTCTTTGGAGACCTCGAGTTTGGAGGTGGGGGTGACGGGGACAGCAGACCGCAGGGTAACGATGGACACAGCACAGCAGACCAAAACTACTGCTATACATATGCTACGCGCCCATCAAATCTCCATTGCGATTATTACTGCTCGCCCCCAAACCTCCAACAGCCAAATCGCTTGGTACACATAAGGGACATATCACACACCTTGCCGTTCTCATCCACGTCCACGGCCACGATGGCGGTCGAACCAGAATTGTTGCCTAGGCCAGAGATACCTCCCACCCCTCCACCTCCCCCAGCCGCCGCTCCTGCCTTCTTCGTGGCGGGACGCCCCATCTCGAGAGGAAACTGGGCGACATGGATCTCCGGGAATGCTCCTCCATCGCCGAAGTCCGCCTGCGCGCGGGGCACAAAGCTCTGTCGCTGCCCGTAGGGGGGCACCTTGTACTTTGGCGCCGGAGGGAGCAGAGAACTGAGGCCTTCGTCTGCGTGTACCTCGTATTTGTGCCGAGGGGCAGGCAGAAAGGTTGCGGCCATGGTACTCAGCCAGCTTCAGGCTGTTTGCTCGATTCAAAAGATCGGCGTCGGCGCCCTCCTCTCGAATCCTCTGCTATTTCCGGCTCTCTGCTCCCCTGTGTATGTACCTGTTGCTTGTTGCGCGTAGGGTCTCGTCAAGGGGGTCCCGCGAATTCAATCAGCTCACCATCCAATCCTCGGGAGATCTGGGAGATCTGGGAGATCCACCGCACTGGTTCAACAGCAGTAGTAGATCTGTGGATATGTGGATATGCGTGAACGTTGCGTCGTTGGTGAACTTTACCGATGTGCGTGTGGAACAAGCCTAAGGCGCTCAAAACCACGCTCCTGATTTGTGTTATGTTTCACCAACATTGTCTACTTCAAGATTTATCGGGTCTACCGCGCGTGCTCTCAATCTTTCGAGCTGTCGTGCCGGGCGCTCTGCACAACAATCTCTCCTGCCACAACCTCGGCGCAATCGAACATGTGCTGTCACATGGATGCACCGCTGCACTTTTCATGCGGTTTCCGAGGTCACAACCCAGCTTTTGGGTACCGACGCAAGTGTAGCGCATACCGGCAGCTCTCGTCCGCCCAGACGGCGTACAAGAGCCTTGAAGCCACGGTCCGACGGCGACTAGGTGACACAAGATATCACACCCCTTTGAATGATTTTCAAGCTCGAATTCTCCACGGCAGAACGAGCGGCGGCGTCGAAAAGGGCGGTGTTGGGACTGTCTCCTCAAGAACTTTCCGAAAACGAAACGTTTTGGTGTGTACATCCCCCGTCGTGGAGTAATCGAGCTTGAAAATCGGTCCAAGGGGGTTTGATCGTACGGCATTCGCGAGAGCCCTTTCGATTCCCGAAGCGAATGATATATATGCTTTGGAGAACTCATGGGGGGCTGGATCCCGGCAAGGGGTGTCCGGGGCAGATTTGGCTGAAGTGCCTGAGGGACGATACCGTACGCAACAACTTCGGTCTATGTACCAGCCCCAAAAATAATGTTCCCCCCTTTCTTGGCCTTGCATTTTGGCCTGTTGAACACGTTGTTGTGGCATGAGAAGAAAACGTCCAAGCTTCGACGACGTTGAACGCCTTTCTCAATTCCATATTAAGACCAATCACTTCACCCAGAGGATTGGAAACTGGCGAAATATCATGCGAGAGATCGCAACTCTGAAACAAGTTGGGATGCCGAAACGTAGGAGAGGGTCACGCCCCGCTTGCTTGTGAGCGTCGTTGGCCACTGAAAAAACTGGGCGTGCTGAACTCCTGTACGTTTGGAATACGGAAGGTCTTCCCACTTCAGCACACCTTTGCGCCACCCTTTACCATTGAACTCCCGCGTCAACGGTCAAACGTCCTCTTCACCCGCCTTGCTTCATTCCTGTCTATGACGTGCGGCGGCAGACTCGATCCAGTATCTGAAATTTGGCCGATTTTCTTCAAGAAAATGACTTGTCGCAAGGACTCAGCCACAGTGAAATGGACCCTGGGAAACAACGTGAGCAATATGTCATCACATCAAACTAACAATCCCCCCCCCACGTACCTTGGAGACAGATGTTTGTCTGATAAGAAAGCCGGAAACAGTTGGAAACACTGCTGCCTTGGTGGTTGATCACGTCCGTGATGGACCGTTACAAAATGTGGCGTTCTGCAGCAGCGGAGGTGGCGGTGCTGCTGTAGCTCGTAGACTTTGTAGTCTACCACAGAGGTTACACTGCTGTCACCGCGGTGCTGCTGTAGCTCCTAGACTTTGTAGTCTATCACAGAGGTTACACTGCTGTGAGAGCGGTAGGCCCGAGCGAGCTTCGGAAAGAGAAATGTTGATAAAATAGATGCTTATATCAACTGACTCCCTGGTCAGGCTTTGATGGGTGCTAGATGAGAGTGAGCACAAGCGGCGAAGGCGCGCTTGTGTCTCAGCTCAACAACAAAACAAAAAACAAGCAGCAAACGCAGCAGGTTCCGAGGGTCTCCGGGGTATTGGCCCGAGTACCGGAACTTCGGGGTTCGGAACAATAAAACGACTACAGTGTAGCCTGCCAAATTATCTCCGCTACAACTCTGTGCTCATGTGCTCTGCTAAGTACCATTTANGCGGTAGGCCCGAGCGAGCTTCGGAAAGAGAAATGTTGATAAAATAGATGCTTATATCAACTGACTCCCTGGTCAGGCTTTGATGGGTGCTAGATGAGAGTGAGCACAAGCGGCGAAGGCGCGCTTGTGTCTCAGCTCAACAACAAAACAAAAAACAAGCAGCAAACGCAGCAGGTTCCGAGGGTCTCCGGGGTATTGGCCCGAGTACCGGAACTTCGGGGTTCGGAACAATAAAACGACTACAGTGTAGCCTGCCAAATTATCTCCGCTACAACTCTGTGCTCATGTGCTCTGCTAAGTACCATTTATTCTTTCTGTATTATGTCTACGGAAGGCTAGCTGCCGCAGTCGCACCTATGGTAAACTGTGCCTGACTACGTTGTAACAGTTTTCCTCGACAGACCCGTCTGCCCATATGGCGTATTTTCGACCGTGTTCACCGACGACAACGTTTAGACGTGTTTCAACTGAAAGTGGTCTAAACGGGGTCTGTTCGCGCAACGTTCTCGGCCACGGGCGACGCGATGGCCCCACTTAGCCACCGGATCGACTCGCCCTCTGCCTCGACTGCTATTCCCAACGACATAACATCTTCGCCGTCGCGCCACCTGTGCCACGGGACGGCCCCTTCCTCCGTTTTCGCGCACTTCGGCCTACACAACCTCGCCTCGGCGGTGATCCCGGTATGAGGCCTGAATTCAGCCACACGCCGCTCCTCCCAGGCGTTTCCGCGCGCCATAACCCCCAGGAGATTGTGTGGCACGGCCACCTCCCACTCGCCGACGCTCTCCCGGCAAACGAGAACCACCGGGGGTTGTCGTCGTCCCAACGCCGGTAGCAGCGGCTCGTCTGACGGAACGCCTAGCCTGGACTTGAGAACGGCCGCCTTGAAGGCACCCGGAATGTCTGATGAAACCATTAGCCCCGGGAGTTTATTTTCTCTTTTGGCAAATTCCGCTCCTGCTTCCACCTTCTCCCCAGTGTCATCCACCACCAGGGCGACGGCACCGCAGGCGCCAAGTGGCAGGGAGATTCGGACGAGGCGGGCCACGGGGTAGCCTTGGTCCCAGCGGTAGCCCAGCGTGCCCACTGCGTTACCTGGTGAAAGTTGAAAGTACATGGCGCTCCAGTCGCTTTCTGTCGTCGCCGGCACCGATGGGGCACGCGCGGCGGCATACGCGGCAACCCCTGATTCGTCACCGATCACGCGCCACACATGGAGCGTGGCAGGCGTCGCCTCGACCATGTGAACATCCCAGGGGTTCTCTCGTTGGTGTTTCGCACCTTCCATCCTGCGTTTATCTGCGCACAATCGGAGAGAAACGGATGGCTGCTTCGTTCGCCAGACGGTAGAATCCCGGGGACGCAAGACATGTGAAACCAATGTTCTTGACGGGACTGGACCTATATGCCTCCTGCGAAAACACGGGAGCTGGCCCTCTTAGAGGCAAGCCTCAGGTTCCTACATTTTTTCGTGTTGGGTGTTTAACCATTCTTAATCACGGACGATATCGATGTCATCACACGTCGGCTCAGCCGACTGCCTAGCCTCGTTGCGAGGAACCTACATCTCGTGGGGGAGGGGGGGGGGGGGGCGCGGAGGCCTCAAAATTGGGGGAGATTTGGCTTCACTTGTAACCAAAACATGCTTCAAACTCATTCACTTATTCCAATACAAAGTAAATGTACTCGACGATCACTCTATGAGCCTCGGGGTAGTGTCAAGAGACAATTGTATCACAATCAATGACTTCAATACCCCCCCACACGTGAAAAAGGCATACGACACCGTGTGGGGAAATGGGTTGTGGAAACAACTGTCCAAATACGGGATCAAGGGGAAAATGTGGAGAGTGCTGAAGAAGATTACAGAGTGTACGAAAAGCGCGGTCATGCTAGACGGAGAACTGTCTAAATTCTTCGACATTGAGCAGGGGGTCCCACAGGGTTGCACGCTGTCCCCAACATTGTTCCAGGTGTGCATCAACGATCTGTTGGAAGTCTTAGAGGCAGTCCGGAAGGGAGTAAAAGTAGGGGACACGGAAACGTCGGTTTCAGGAATGCTGTTTGCGGATGATTTTGTCGGTATGTCGGACACCCGTGAGGGACTGCAACTGCAAATTGACGCGGCGAAGAAGTTTACTGATAAGTGGAGATTGTCTGCCAACGTTCAGAAGAGTGCCGTCATGGTATGCAACGAGAACAAGGAGGAACCAGTAGAACATAGATGGAAGTGGGGGATCGAGGAGATTGCAGTAGTGGACCAGTACACATACCTCGGAGTAGAGATCGCAAAAGACTGCTCGTGGAATGCACACATGTCCAAGGTAGCGGAAAAGGGCAAAGCACGAGCAGGGAAGCTGCACCCGATACTCGCAAACTGGCACCTCGATACACGCATCAAATTGACGGTTTTGAAGAGCGTAATCGTACCGCCGCTAGAGTACGCCGGAGAAGTATGGGAAGGAAATAAGAAGGTAGTG